GGGAACCCGCCCGGTGCCCCTGGTCTGCTGGAGACGGTCTCCAGCAGACCAGGGGCACTGGAGCAGCTTATGAACGGGGCTTTCTCGCCCCGGAGCTCGCAGGTAGCAATCCGCCACCTCGACCTCCGGGGCGAGAGAGCCCCGTTCGTAAGTGCGGGTCCGACGTAAGTCGGGGACTGCCTGTGTTTATGTTTGGCAGCCTAATTTGCAAGCCTTCGAATGTGCAGTGTGAACAAATTAATAATACAGTGAAAACTTGAAGTTCTTTATTCATCATACATTTGCAAACATTAACTTCTCATAACTGTATGTGGTTGCATTCAGTTCATTTAACACAGAAAGGAAGAAGAGAGATTTGCATTTGCCCCATTGTTTTTTCCATCTGCATTGCCTTAACGACTTTGCCCAATACCTAGCTGTGTATTAGCTGATTACACAATTTAATGTGGAATTCCATAATACTGAGAGAGCTGCCCATCATCATTTAACAAAAGAACAATCCAACTGTTGTATCGAAAACTGCAAAGTTATTGTTCAGCTATGTTTATACAACAGATTTTACATGGTACCACTGTAGCCGTGCTGCTGTCAGGTCTCCTGTGTGCTAGCTCTGTGGTGACAGGAGAGCACTCTCCAACCCCCAACTAAACTGTGGCCAATGAGCAGCAGTAGCAATGTGGCAGAAGAGAATCTCCTGCTGACATAACGTTGTCCACAACAAGGCTTTGGGTCTTGAAACTGGTGTTGATCAGGGCTGTGAAAAAACATCCCCCGCTCTGACTGACGTAAATTTTACAGATAAACGTGCTAGTGTAGATACAGCCTTACATAGTGACTTCCTTCCTTAGGGCTGGCCACATGTGAGCTTGCATAGCTGGGCTTTGTTTTAGTTTAGTGTTTCATTTTGCTGCAGAAAGAATTCTGAGTCCTTTTCAATCCTCACTTGTGAGATTCATGGGAATGATTATTGAATGCTTTTTATTCAAATTTAAAAAAAATAAATGATTGGATTGTCCCTGATGGAGAATTGTTTGGGAAATTGAGTAATTGAACAGTTTTAACAGAAGTTTACTAGAAATTTAAACTATTTTTTCCAAGGAATGTTGAAATAATAAAATACAAATCTAGAAGTCTTCTAGCTTTGGGAATTCCCTTATTATGAGAGTTCAGATTTTGCCCTTTGCTTATAGTAACCATAAAGGATCAGTTTTAAGGGTCATATTAATACTAGATTTTTATCATCTCTCAAAGGCTCTGTGTGCACAAAAAGTTTCACCACGTTAATTCTATTTCTAATCTGTGCAATCCCATTGTATAGATTCTTTAATTAACCAGTTTGAATGTCCATATGACTGCACATGTTTAATTAAATCAATTTCTAAACCAATTTAATTAAATCAATATAGTTTTTGTGTTTACGAGGACATGGTTTTTCTTGTTTGAATACCATTTTGCTGACTGTGTAAAAAAAAAAAAAAAAAAGTGTAATTTTTGAGAATTTCAGTAAGAGCCATTTAAAATTTACTGACTTGCTATAGCAATAAAATTTCTCATGAAACATTTTGTTTTGGTAACATGAACATTTTGCTTACGTGCCTGTCTCTTGTTTAAAAGTTACCAATTCATAGATTTCGATATAAACCAAAGCATGAAAGTTTGTCCAAACTGATTTTTGTAATATTTCACTGAACCTGTGTGTGCCTAGAGGAAATCCGTTCACTGTGGCTTCAAATTTACAGTTTGACCAATTTAAAAGTACTGTATAACTAATCATTCAGTTGTTTCTTCTTCTTACTCCAGATTTTGAAGAATTTCACCTCTGTTCATCTTTCCCATGTGGAATTGACACAAATGGGCCAGCAGCTGATAGGAAGTTATCCTGTTCACTTCCACTTGTGTGGAGATGTGGATGAGAAAGGAGGTTACAGCTTCAGGACTTATTTGGAAGGCCTTGCCATTCATCATTGCTTCTCCAGATGTGTGACAATTCATGCAACTAATGGCTTGTTGGTAGGTGCCACGGGAGAGATGCCATTTCAAATTGTTCGAAAGTAAATGTTACAAAGCACAGTCAGTGTGAAAATATATTTATTCAATTTTTTTTGGTTTAAGTGGACATGACATGACTAACACAGTCAATACATAATTACCAGGTGGAAACAGTGACTTGTGACAAATCTTGGTCTTTCTAATTGGATGTGAAGAGCTTCGCAGTCAGCTAACGTCTTCAGGGAAAAGCAGTAGCTCTCTGGGGAACAAATAAAACTTGACATTTGACTTAGCCATTATGGCTGATATTGAAACTTCATTTTGCATTTATGCCAAGATAGTAAAACTAAACAGTGCTTGTCAAATTAATCTCAATGAATGCTATTGCTACTGACATAATGAACATGCATTTTTGCAGATAAAGGACACCATTGGTTATGACACACTGGGCCACTGTTTCTTCATAGAGGACGGCATTGAACAGAGAAATATTCTGTTCCACAACCTTGGCCTAGTCACCAAACCAGGCACTCTTCTTCCCACAGACAGGAATAGCACCATGTGTATGGCTATTAAGGATAAAGTATATGGCAATTATGTTCCAGTGCCAGCCACAGACTGCATGTGAGTATCTGGCTAAGAGAAGAAAATCAAACTAGTTGCAATAATTAAAGTTCTGAAAATCTGTTGTTGCTCTACAGATAGGCAAGATTTTTGTTATGGAGGCTAATGAAGGTGGACAGCTTTCTTCATGTTTTCTTACTTGAAAATTATGAAGATTTGCTTTGTCAAATTAGCATTTAGCTGATTTGCTCAGGGCTGCCCAGGGCGGGGAGGGGGAAGTGGGGCAGTTTGCCCCAGGCCCCTATGAGAATGTCTGAGACAGGGAGTGCCAGGAAGGGGACCCCAAAATTGCTTTGCCCCAGGCCTCCTGAATCCTCTGGGCGGCCCTGGATTTGCTAGATGTGAGTGCTAAGTTTTCAGTAGGCATTAGAGGGTTACCATGCTTAGCTTCTGAATTGTTTATTGTTTCTGAATAATATATTGCAGGGCTACTTCAACATTCTGGATTGCTCATCCCAACAATCATCTTATAAATAATGCAGCAGCAGGTTCGCAGGTGAGATACATAGACATTTTTTGATAGAAACTATTTCAGGTAACTAAGGCATGCACTGTTATAAAGGTAGGCATTTCAGTGTTTCACATGTGTTTTTATGTTTAGAAGTACAGTGGTATTATATATACAAGTGTCCCTTCTAAATGGGCATTGACAGATACTGAACATTTGTCCTAAACAGAAGATAATTATTTCTTTTGTGACAGTGAGTGTATATAGTGAATCAATTGTGAATAAGGGATCTTATGAATGCATCCATGCTGAAGTTAAGGCTTCGATATTTTCTGTAGTTTATATTGTTAGCGTGCTGTGTGCCTACTGTTCAGAGCTTGAAATCTGGTCATACTAGAAGATGTACCCTGCTTTGCTCAGGCCCTCCAGGGCAGAGGGCTGGCAGCATGGGTAGGTGCAGGGCCTAGGGGTGGATGTGGGGAGGGCTGAGTGGTGGAGGTTAGGGAGCAGAAGGCAGGGTTCAGGCCAGGGGGCTCTCAGGCCAGAGGGTTGGGGGGAGGGGGCTCATCAGGGCTGCCAGCTGAGCTGCCACCCCTCCTGCTCCTTGAAGTACCTTGCTCTGGCCACCAGCGGGTCTTTTCCGGTGGTGACTGGGGGGATGGGGTTTGTGGCCTCGCCATGGCCCCGGCGCCAGTGGTACTTCTCTGGAGTGGCGTGGCTGCTGGCTGGCAGGGCAGTCTTCTCAATTTTTTTTTAAATTTCTTAGGATTTTTTTTGTCAGTGTCATTATATCTTGATATGGGTAGAGTGATAAGCAATTCACAAAAGATAACTGGAAAATATTTTGTATATCTACAATAAAATGATTTGCCTAGTTAGATGAACAAAATATGACTGAGTATGTGGAAATATAACGTCACTGAAATACAAAAAGCTGTGGGGGTTTTTTTCCTTGTGACTTTGACTTCAGACTTGAAATGTACAAAATTAGGGGATCTTTCTGACTAAAATATTTCTTTTTCTGCATAACTTGTAATGAGATCTATACTGCTTTTTTTGTTGTTGTTGTTGTTGTTGCTGCAAATTTGTAGTTCTAACATAGAGCTCTTTTTTTAAAGACATGATCTAATGTGGAATTTATTGCAAAAGGATGTTGGTTGTGTTGGTGTTTGACCCCGTGTAAATTTGTTTTAAAATGCTTTTGATTTGTTGGAGATAGCAGTAGAGCAGTAATGATGGTTTAACATATTAATGCTAGACAGTTCATTATCATTTTTAAAACATGTTCTCACCCTTTTCTTTGCAGGATGCAGGAATATGGTATGTATTCCACAAGAATTCTACAGGAGAGTCTCATGATTTATACCTTGAAACCAAAGCAGAGCTTACACCACTAGGCATCTTCTATAACAACAGAGTTCATTCTAATTTTAAGGTAGTGTGGTCATAGTTTAATACCTGACTTCAATAATATTTCAGTATTAAAACCTGCATGACTAAACAAAAAAAATCATATTGGCAAACAGAGGCAAAGCCTGCTCTTCTCGAAATTTGTCATCTAGTATTGCAGCACATAGGATAATCAGATGCTTATGCAATCCCTTGTTGTAATGCTCAGCCCCAAAGTAGTTTTGGTGTTTAATATTCTCTTTTTAATAGGGAAAAAAAGGGAGGGGGAGAGTTTGTGAAATTACACACCAAAATCTGTACCTTATAGTTTTTTGCATAATGTGCTTACTCAACATTTTGAAGTCCGAGAGTGTTTTAAGGCTGATAATTGGTGTTTTGGAGTGCAATGATCTCGAGAATGCAGGTATATCACAGATCAGGATTGCTATGAATTGGAAATCGTAGTTCATAAACTGTCAGTGACGTAACTTTAGCTTCGCTAACACACTAACTTCAGTAGCTTCTTTGTAGTCTCACAGTATTTGACTTGAGAAGTACGAGGACCATTTCATATGGTAGTTTAGTGTCAGCTCAGATCTGTTGTAGCAGTGGGTCCACACAAGAGTTTCCTGAAACAATTCAAAGTCATTCACCTTAATGTAAATTATCAAACTCTATCTGTCCAAATAAAAATATTGTGTTGTCTACGTTTTATCTTATAAATTTGTAGCGAACTCTTAAAGTCTTTCATTAAAAAGTGTTGTAATTACATGGTAACTGCTCTGCATGGCATTATGTTTTGATTTTTATTAAACCATGTATGCATTTATTTACGCATCTACATTAGCTTAAAGGTGACTTAAGATTTTTCTGGAAGTCAAGTTCTGAACAGTAAATTTTACATACCATATTATTTGGAATTCTATGTTAGAAACTAACTTTCTTCTGACTTTTTTTTTTTTAATTGTTCTGGTTATATTAATCATTCCTGTTCCAAATAATAGTAACAGTATTACAGCTTAGATGCACAACCTTCTGGGGGCTATATGTTAAAAACAGTACTGTTTGAAAATTGAAGCCAGTTATTGTATTGCCTCAATATTAGAGGTGCTTGAACCAAATCACATGTTCCTATTTAAAGTAAAAATTGGCTGAAGGTAGGGAATATTCTAAGCCAAGACTAAAAGTCCTTCTGAGACAGCTGTTCAGTAAAAGAGTTTATTCAGTTTGAAAATAATTGCTTTCAAATGTGTTTAAACGAAGTCTAAACTATAGTATTTCCATGAACATTTTTCAGTCCTATGAGAGGGGTAAGTAATACTGAGATAGCAGAAATATTTTTCCAGGCTTTCTTGGGAAGAGTATGTTAGATAAGGGAAATGGAGCAGTAAAAGAGAGTACATTTAAAAACTAAAAACTCCGATATCATGCATACAGGACTCACCTGTTTTGTGAACTCCGTTTCAGTTTTATTGCCAAAGATAATTTTGTAAAGCTGTTTCGGACTGGGTCGGGTGAATTATTTGTTTCTTTCCTCACCTGTTTCAGGCTGGCTTATTTATTGATAAAGGTGTAAAAATTACCCATGCTAATGCTGAGGATCCACGGGAATATCTTTGCCTGGACAACAATGCAAGGTAAAAATGTGTTCTTTCAAAGTTATTGTGTGTTGCCTCACTATTAGAGGTGCTTGAACCAAATTACATTTTAGAATAGTTAAGTTCTCAAGGTGGAATCCTTTTCTTTCAAAATATTCATAATATAAGATTAGAAAATGTTTTAAATCTTTGCAAAACATGATGGTTGTCAGATTTGTTGCTATTTTATGTACATAATCCCACATCCACATCAACCCACCCACCAGTTCTTTGAATTAGCAGAGCATTCTGTGTTCTGGGAGTTGGCTGCTCCTTCTGCATACTAGTGCTGAGCTGGCTCTCTTAACTGAAGTGAGTCATTACTTTCAACAGCTCTGAAAAATATTCTCTTATCTGATGTGCAAAGTTGAAAACCTATTAAAGGCTGCTGATTGCTGAACTCCCTGGCTTGTGGCTCAACCGCAGGGCTTGTCTTCACTTCACGGTGGATCGACACTGCAGTGATAGATCCACCAGTGGTTGATTTTATTGTGTCTGCTTAAATGTGATAAATCAAACTCTGAGCACTCTCCCATTGACTCCAATACTCCACCTAAATGAGAAGAGTAGTTGGAGTCAACAGGAGAGCAGTCCCCACTGACTACACTGAACAGAAGACACCACGGTAAATAGGTCGATTTCAGCTACACCGTTTGCATAGCTGAAGTTGCATAGGTTCATTTAATGGGGCTAGTGGTAATGGTGGAAAGTGGTTAGTGTAGACAAGGCCTAAGGCAATGGTTCTCTACCAGGGGTATGAAGAGTCTTCCAGGAGGGGCATCAACTCATCTGGATATTTGCCTAGTTTTACAACAGGCTACCATAAAAAACACTAGCCAGCTCAATACAAGCTTAAAACTTCCTACAGACAATGACTTGTACTTACATTTCATATATAAACAATAGTTCTTTTATTTATAATTATATGATAAAAATTCCTTACTTTCTCATTTTTCAGTAGTAGTGTGCTGAGACACTTTTTTGTATTTTTATGTCTAATTTTTTTTTTTAAGCAAGTAGATTTTAAGTGAGGTGAGACTTGTGGGTGCACAAAGCAAATCAGACTCCTGAAAGGGTTTCAGTAATCTGGAAAGGTTGGGAGCCCATTAGTCTAAAGGACCTAGTTTCAGAGGTACAACTCAATAGCAAGTCAGTTGGAGTTGGACACCCATCTGCTCTTTGTTCCTTTGAAAATCTCCCGCTAAATCATCAGACAGCTTATTGAATATTCAACTCAACAGTGCAACTTGAGAGCATCTATTGGCAGAGTATTAATTGGTTTGGTGTATACATAGACACATTCTCTCCAGAATAGTTCATTCCATGAACGAGTAGTGGAGAGGTTCCTTACAACAGGCTGGCTTGCTATTTTTTCTTGCACTTTAAATAAAATTATATGTATATTAATCACATTTCAAATGAGGAGAAACCAAATGTCCATCTACCTGTACCCTGCTCTAGAATCTAGTAAAATGTCATTAGATAAGAAAGCAATGGGAGCTCCTCTGCCCCTGGCTTCCCCAAGTCCGCTGCTGGACAGTTCCAACCAGCAGCTGAATGAGGAAGCTGGGGGCAGAGCAGCTGG